ACCCAAATGACCTTATCCCACAGTGAGCTATGTCTGGCTAACCATGGGAACATGGCAAACTTGAGGTGTGCCAGAACCTTTCTGCTCTCTGATGCAGTGGTTGAATGCTGGGGGTGCGAAGGCAGAGCATTTGGGGTTGCAGATGCCATGGCAGGAAGGCTCAGGATTACAAATGACTTATACATAACCTGGAACACAACCCCTGCTTCATAATGAAAAGGAACCAGGGGTAGAAACTGTAGCTTCAGTGCACAACACTAAGTGGTTAAAAATCAAGATGGAGGATGTGAAAGCTAGCACTTGCAGTGAACTCTGCAGCGGTTATCCCAGCTCCGTAGATGATGAGGCTGTCTGTAACCAGGGCAATTTGCTCACATGGTAACAGATGCTTCCATCACAAACATTGTCCCAAAGCCAAGAGCAGCCCCTCAAAGGCCTGACTCGTTAGCGCAAATATAGAGAGGCACGCGCATGGCACACCCTTATCACACACTCATTGAGCACGTGCATGGAATGTCACTTATATAATCGCAGGCTGCAGTTGGGCTGCGTGAGTTAAAAGCCCACAGAAACTTCTAACTTCCTTCTTCTTTTTAAGCTGTTCTATTTTATATTGGAGACAATGCTTGCAGCATGAGTAATGCCCATCAGTTATCAGTAATTTAGCAGTTTGTGCCAGTGTTGACATTTGTTCTCGGCTTAATTGCGCGTGAGTGTGTGTTTTAAACAATGATGCAGCTGTCCCCATTCCTGGCCATTACAATATAAAAAAACGGTGTCCACTGAATCTGGCATTGCGATCACATGGCCACATGTTTACTCTTTTGTTTGTAAGTCTTTCTGAGTGTTTGCTGCAATTCTACAGAGTATAAATTTGGCCTAAGGTAGAGCCTGGCTCCACATGGCTATCAGCATCAAAGATTTCAAACTTGGCCATTTCATGACCTTAGTTCTCTGATTCCACTAGACTTGCACGACATTTGTGGGTGGGTTAAATATAACTCTTTGGTTTGATCTGAAGAAATCAGATTTCAAATGCCATTGAGCTGGATGAGCAGCGTCAGCAGAGATGGAATAGATTACTGTTGGCCATTTGCAGAGTATCAAGTGGTGGAGATCTACCCCCTAGGTGTTGCCACAAAACCCCAACTGTACCCAACACCTGCATCAAGCTTGTTCTCTGCAAATCCATGAAGAGTCAGGACCTCTGGGGCTGCTATTGTCCCTCAGTAATTTTGGCGTTCTCCTTTTCCCTGTTAGGTGAAAAGGTTAGTGCTCATGTCACCTCATTTGGTGATAGAAATACAAAATAAATATCTATTTAAAAACAATGTGTTCTTTTGGAAAACCATTTGGCAGTAGTCACTAAAGATGAACATACACTGACTGAAAGTTTCTCTTCCAAATACAGATGCCCAATAGATATGCATGCATCAATCTATCAATGAGCAGGCTTTGGAAGCTTCATGGCAGCAGCTGCCACATGTCCATCAACAGTAGAAATGATAGTGCTGGCCATGAGGTATTATGATGGCACAATGCTTGCTTAGCACGCACAAGTCACAGGGTTCAATCTGAGGCCCTAAACACACAGAGCAAAAAGAAAGATGGCAGGTGTGCCACAGTGCTATACAGCAGGAAGACCGCACACTAGATACATATGGGTTTTGTTCTCTGGGAAAGGAGCACACATTTAGTATTGTAAGAAGCACACAGACCAGCTTTGCGTTGTGTAGCTACCAGGTCTCTTTCTGATCGTCTCAAAGACCAAAGTCAAGGTTAGGGCTACTGGAGCCCAGGACCCTCTTCCAAGCCTCTTCAGGCTATTGGAAGAATTCAGTCTTTATTTGGATGGTGGGGACAATGTGGTTGTTGGCTATGGACCAAAAGCCAGTCTCTGCTCCGAGAAGGCATCTGAGTACTTTGCCAAGAGGTCACCTCTATCTTCAAAGTCATCAATGAGTGCTCTCTCAAATCAATCCCTCGAATGAATTCAAATCACCTCCATAGAAGAGCGCAGTCTGCTTTAAGGACTCATGTGATTGGGCCATAACTGATGTCAAAGCAGCCGATTTCAGCCCGATGACATACTAAATCCCTCTGCCCATCAGCACCTGTATTAACATTCAGCTGAATGACAGTTAAAACTGTATGCACAAGAGGGTTTACATACACTTGCATACACCCATACATATACAATGACATGGATGGATTTCACAGCTGACGGTGAGCCAGAGAAGCCAGACACAAAATATATTCCATTTACAGGAAATTCGTGAACTGGAAATATGTTAATTTGGCGTTAGAAGTCAGACTGGGTCTGTGAGGTGGCTTAGAGTATAAAAGCCCTGCCTGTGCGAGCCTAATGCTTAGAGTTTGATCCTTAGACCCTCTCAGTGAGCAACAGTCATAATGGAGTTCAAGGGGACCCTAGGTGGGTGGGGAGGGCTGTCCTGGTTTGTATTCTGGTCACATCACTGTGTTCAGCTTTTGAAAATGCAGTGAGCTATACATTGATGGTCCATGGCTGTTTTGGTAAATGTATTATACTTGGGATAATTTGTACTCATTCCTGTAAAATGGATTTGTTTAGTTTCTCCAGGGAAGCTTGCATCCAAAGGCAATTCTCAGAATGGGGAGGGAGAATGAGAAAGGAAATAAGGTACCAAGCCAGAAGGAGGGGCTCGTCACCCCATTTTGTATAGCTCCTCCATATGGCTGAACAGCGACAGATCTGAAAACTAAATCAGTTTCTCAGAACTGAAGTAACCAGATTCTCTGAATGCCTGTCCATCCTGCCCTATTGATCCCAGTAATGTGCCCCAAGAGATGCTTATCTGTCACTTGACATTCTTTGATGTCCTGCTTCCTGGTTATGCATACTGAGGGCCAGGCATATGCTAAAATTGTTAACCTTTTAATCCTCCTTTTCCTTCCCCATTCCGTTCTCTAACTACCCCAGTTTAGAAGCAGACAGTGGACTCTGCCTTCTAGACTAAAGACAGCTGAAATATCATGGAGCTTGTATTGTCATCAAGAGACTCTCTGTGTCTGTCCTCTCTAACTTCACACGAGGAAGCCACAAGGTTGACAGTCACTACTAACTAGGTAGAAATCCCTGCGCTGCCAGCTTGGAACTTGGGTGTGGGACCTGCTACATAATATGTGGAGACCTCAGTGGAAAGGTGCTAAAACGTTTGAAGACAGCTGAGCATGCATGGTGGCACATTGAAAGTGATCACAGATTGGAGGCCATCTTAGGCTACAGAACACAATCCTGTGGTGAAAAGAAAAAGCAAGAAAAGAAAGCGGGAGAGAAAGAAGCACTAAGTCAGTACTGTTGTTGGGATACACTGACAGGGCCCCCATTCCCGGCATGTACAGGAAATCTGAAGTGCATTTGGCCCATTCAACTGTAGACCATGGCAGAAGATAGCTGGTGAAACTTCATTAGCATATGTGACAGCAAGGATTCGATGCTAACCAGACAATGGTGAGCCCTCCCAATTTCTAGATTATCTCACTAATTGGCTAAAAGGCCTACCCACAGATTGGTAGAGGGGATAGAAAACTACACACAGTCTTCAAAGATAACAGTATTTCAGCCCTCTGAACAAACACAAATTGCAATTATTGCTGGCTTTCTAATCATAGAAGCTTAGCATGCATCCCTTGGTGTTTCTGGTCAAAAAGGAAATTTCTAAATGCAGAGGCTGAAGGGGTTGGAGTCTGGGCATTTCTCCCCCAATTTTTTTTTTTTCTTTTGCTGCCATTTGAGTTTTGGTCAATTTTTGAGTGCAAAGCAGGCCTGACTCTGGAACCTCGGGAGTGTCTGGAAGGTCCTGGGAAGGGTGCCCTAGCATACAGAGTGAGTTGAGTAGTGGATGCTCGCGGCACGTGACTGACTCCCAAGCCTATGCAGTGTAGGGATGGAAGGGCTGTCGCGAGCCTGGAATCCGGTAGGGGTGGCATTCTTCGGGGTTAAGGATTTCTGTGATACCACCGCCTTGCATCTCTGCGATCATTTTCCCCAGCTTACACTGAGTGCTCACTGCTGGACCTAGTGACTTCTTAAAGCTTTGGGGAACCGTAGTACCCGAAGGTGACCGGCTGCTGACCTACAGTCTATGAATAGTTCCAAGGATGAGACAAAGTCCCAGTGTCTGGGTGACAACAGGGTTATTGACCAAAGGCAGGGGGAGCTGCAGA